GGTCTGTATGTGGGATCTGACCCCTCGGCGGGAGCGCTGCTGCGCTTCCCAAGCGGCGCACTGTGGCAGTGCGCCACCGGGCCGGCCCGGAACTGATATATTTTTGAAAAAGTAAGAATATATCTCAACCTAAAAGCCAGCACTGTATCTAATGGTACAATATTGGAGGCGTTCCCACCAAGGTTAGGACAAGGGAAGGCTGTCAATTCAAAAGTCCCACAAGAGCAGTTTTGAGGGATCTGCGTCACCTCCTTCCTTTAAATACACTCTTCTTGTTCATATACTTCCTAACTCTATAGCCAGCAGAAACTTTAAACTTGTAATATGGTAGAGTAGTCATTCAGGTACACAACACACACTATTGGGAGTCCTTGTATCCTTACAACATGTATCAGTCCATACCCGTTTCCTAAGACTTTGAAAATGATTTTGCTGAAATGATGGTGGGGCTTTCAGCTGTGTCTATGCACTTGTGACACATTGTTCTCGTGTATGATGTGGGAAGTTTTCAGCCACAGTGTGATCCCCAATTTTAGTTTTATCACACAACCCTTTCTGGACTATCACTTTATAAGGCACTTATCAAAAGTATGTTTCACAGATGCTGGAGCTGCCGGGGTGGGCCCCTCTCCCTGGCTCCCAGGTGAGTCTCTGCCTGCAGAACTCAAGTGTCTGCAGGTGTGTTTGGCGGGCTCCACCGGGAAGAGCTAGGAGTGGACTTGGCATTGGAACAAGCCAGGCAGGCTGGACTTTGCCGAACAGACCCTCTTTTGTGTGATGGGATCTGAGGAAACAATCCGTTTGAGTTTCCTAACTTCAGGGCAGTTGTTTTTCATCTTAACCATTAATAATTAAGATTTGTATCTTCATGAACTAGAAAGATTGGATGCCTGGAGCTATCAATAACCACCTACAAATCATATTGTTCTTTGTATTTTGCAAGTGACTCATGGCAATGAAATGCTGTGGGGCTGTCGAGTCCCCACCTTCTTCTGCGGGCCAGTCGGCTCTCTGAGAATGCTTCTTGGCTGTCTCTTGCCTCTCGGTGATGTGGACTGGGAGGAATGCTGCCAGCCAGTGGGTGCTGCTCACGGGGCAGGAACGGGAGGACTTGTTCCCTGGGGCCCCTTTCTGACTCACTGCTTTGCAGGGGCTGGCCAGGCTACTGAGTCTGCAGCTGCAATTTAGAGATGCCAGGAGGGGTTTTCCCCACTTGCAGTCCTCTTGGTTTGCTCCCATGAATGCAACTGAGTATGGCAGGAACATCCAGAAAGGGCCCTCCTGACCTCAGGGTACAGAGTCTGCCCAAGCGATTTTTGGACCTTTTTTGTTAAGTGTAAATATCTTAGCACCCACCTGCTAGGAGGGAAGTGGAGAAGTTTTGTCTAGCTGTGGAAAATCTGTGTTCACTTTCGCATTTGGGGTCCCCAACACGGTTGATGTGGGTTTGTGGAGAAGGCTGGTATGCAACGTCTGGCCTCCTTTTTGAGCAAGGTCAGTGTCATTCAGGGTGCGGGAAGCCCTCCCAAGGGTGGTTTTTCCTTCAGTGTCCTCCCTTACCTTTCCCAGTTTGGCGAATAGTTTGAACAAGATTTAGAATA